CCACCGCCGCCCGCGCCGCCCAAGAAGCTGCTGTCGCCCGAGGAACCGGCGGTGAGCGAGCTGGAGTCGGTCAAGGAGAACAACTGTGCTTCCAACTGCCACCTGGACGGGGAGGCGGCCAAAAAGCTGATAGGGGAGGAGGCCCTGGCGGGGGGCGACAAGTCGGACCCTAACCTTAATAACCCCGCAGACGAGGACCACGCCTATGCTCTGCGGATGCTGCCCAAGACCGGCTGCGTGATTCAGCCTGTGCCAAAACCCGCGGAGAAGACTGCCATGGCGCCGTGCATCATCTCCTCGCCCATGCTCAGCGCCGGGCCCGAGGACCTGGAGCCGCCGCTCAAAAGGAGGTGCCTCCGAATTAGAAATCAGAATAAGTAAAAGGTTTGTATGTCCACCTGGGCGCTCCTCCACGAGCCACTGCACCTCGCTTTGCTTTTTACAAGGCAGAGGCGAGAGAGTTGTATTAATAATCGTGATTTTTTTAAAAAAAAACCTTGCGTATTTTACAGTACACATTGTGTGGTCCTGTACTATCTACGTTTGGATCCAACAACTATGACACTGAGCACTTGCTTAGTAACACCAGTCCTATTTACAGCTGAGGAAACAGCCACAGCATGTCTAAGTGTCATGCCCAAGGTCACTTGAGGGTAAAGTTCAGCCTTGAACTGGAGTAAAAACACTGTTCCAATTACATTTTAATTTTACTATTAGGCTCATCTCTGTAATTCATCCTGCTAGAGAGGAGGAGAATGTGGAAAGGAAGGAGAAATTATTTTGGAACCCTAAATTTTGGTCATAAGATTTCAGTAGTGAAAAGCCCAGGGAACTCCTGAGCTGGGAGACCTACTATAGCTGGTAGCCTCATTGGAAGAATGTTCCAGATCATCATATTTTATTGATAACCATGGGATACCATCTGTAGGATGAGAATAAAAATGAAACTTCTTACACACATAGATATGTCACCTGAGCCCAGGCCACCAAGACACACTTGCCTGAAAAAGTCATGGAGCTCATAACTTCTTGTTTTCTGAAGTTTTCTTCCTTCAGTTTGGCACCAACCAGCGTTCGCCAATGCAAACCCAAATCCTAGCTTTGCTGTCTCCCCCTTTGGGGCTCAGTGGCTCAGCTGGTGCATTGTTCACTTCTGCAGACAGTGAGAAGCTTGGTTAGGGAAAAGGGGAAGGCCTTGCTAAAATAAGAGAGTCACAGATTTCAGAGAGGGGGGATAGAAACTGGCTTGTGTGACAACCATAGCCAGATGTGGCCTCATCTGCTCCTCTCACCAGTCCTGGTAGAATAGGCATTGGATGCATATACCAAAGAGGAAGATGCAGCTTAGAAATCTTGCCCAAATCCAGCTGGTAAGTGGGGGAACTTGTATTCAGTTCAGGTTGTTGCCTGAGCAAGTGGGCAGCAAACAGGCCAAAATGCTGTTGAGTTTATCAACTGCCTATGAAAAAGAGAAGAGACATAAACATTTATTGAGCACTTCACTCGTGCACTGCTCCTTCCAGGGCCTGGGAGGATACAAAGGTGAAGATGATGCTGTGCCTGCTCCCAAGGTATTTACCATCTGGTGGGGATGGAAATCCAGGGGGCCTGGCGTAGGAGAGGCAGGAAGAAGAATCACTCCCATTTGTGTGTGCAGGCTCTCTTTGAAGTGCTTCTCAGTAGTATATATTTGGATCTGGATCCATAAGACAATTACATTAATTCTACTGAAGAATAAACTGGGGAAGGGGGGTGACTTATGGAACTTATCAACGATGATTGTCATGGTAGTAAAGCAGAGATGAGATTCAAGTGCAGACTGCCTGACTCCAGAGCTACATTTCCTTTACCCCACTGTAGGAGAATAGGCTAATAGGTTCCTTCCTTACTCTACTTACTGAAATTTTTTTGTCCATCTCAGTTGTTCTGAGGGAGTTTCTAAAAAAACACCACCAAACCAATTTCCAATTACCAATTTTACCAATTTCCTCAATTGCTCAGATAATATTTAGTTCTTATTTTTCCAGCCCCAACAACAATCCTGGTGGGACATAAAACCATGGAATGTAACCCTTGGTGTGGTGTGCCCATCCCATTGTCTCTAGGTTGGTGTATTTACACGGGCACCTCACATAGCCAGAAGTTTGCTTAGAATCAGAGCAAGGGACTTGTTGGTTGGTGTAAGAAGGGATTCTCAGACACCATGGTTTGAGGTTTCCTTTTCCACGGATGGCTTTGCCAGTATGAGTAGACTACTATAAACGAGTTATTCATTCCTTCTTGATTTTACATCTGTGAGTTCTGTTGTCTGAAGACAGATAGCCTTAGCCTTCTCACAGATAACTCAGTTGAAAATGCCCCTGATGTGTTCAGAAGAGTAATTTCATCTGCTTGACAAAGCTTTGAGTAATGGGAAGGTATGTGACAAATAAGTGACCACCTTCAGTAAGTCAGAAAGCCTTGGGAATTACCATTTAAATACATTCTAATATCACTCAAATAGCATTAAAGAAAGATTGGGAGGGTGAAAGATTTTACTTCCATTAGTGAGTTGAAAAGTGACCTGGTCAAGAATAGTGACACAAGCCTATAAGTAGCATGGGACCAAAAGTTCATAAAAGCATAAAATATATGATGGCTATTTGGATGATCTATGTTTCTGAATAAAGAATCAAGTGAGGGTCTTACATGTGGACCAGGATCATTACTGAAAATATTAACCTGGTTTCAGCCAATTTCAGACAATACCTCTTGAGATTAGAGTTCTTTTTGTAATGGATCCCCCAAGAAATTACAGTTTTTCTCTAATGTCAGAAATACTCAGGCTTTGTTGGCTACTGAGAGGTGGCAAGGCAAGTGATTTAAGAGGGGGGAAGAACCATCTTTCCTCCACTCAATCACACCTCCTCTTGCCCCCAGTAGTTCCACGTCACCTCACAGTGTAGCCTCAACCTGCCATAATTCACTCATACCCTCTGGCCCTTCCTGCTTTTCTGTGCACATGCAACTCAATGCTGTTTTTCTTCTATGTCTTCAGAAACTCAGCCCATTCATATGGTTGGGGGAATTGAAATGCATCCATTAAATAAAGAACTGGGTAGCTTTTGTGCCCTGATGGGGCACTCTTTGATGACAAGTTAAAACCAAAGTGAAAGCATTAAGAAACCCAAAGCAGAATGCAGTCTGAGATGCGGTAGGTGAGAGAGAGGTGCCTGTGAGCAAGGTCCCCTGTGCCTGTCGGTGATTCATTATGATTTCTCACAGGAGAGTCTGTCAGCAGCTCCTGTCAGTGTTCTCCATTCTTCTTGTTATGTCCACCTGTCTCTACAGTACTATGATTTTAAAAAAAAATTTAAAATAGATCCAAAGCAGACTGTATCTGAAAATCAACCCAGCTACAGTGGTCTTTGATGAAATCATCATATTTGTTAGTTCCTTGCAAATTACAGCCCTCCCCTCCCATTTCCAAGTTATTCTGAACCTGACTTTATGTTTTATTATTTGTTGATACAACTACAAATGATTTCAAATGATTTTTCTCCAGATGCAGAACTAATTGTTTAGTTGAAGATTGTAAAAGGTTGTAAACTCCCTTTAATCTTCAACTTTTAAGACTCTAAATACCAGTTCTGCAGCTTCTGTAGCTAGGGGAAAAAAGCATACCCACAAATAATAAGGAAAACAATGTATAAACATTTCTCAAACTATTCTATCCACAAAGAATTCCATTTATAAATGAAATACTCCCTTCTTTGTCTTTGCCTGGGAGCTTGGGGGATAGCTGTTTGTATTTGTACATTTTTCTGAATTTCTATAGTTTACACTTGTTTATGGTACATTGGGGAGCTCAGAGTAACCATTTGCAAATGTTTGAATATATTCAAAAGAAAATGTTCCCCCTCCTCAGTTTTCCAAGGAAATGAAGTATTCTCTTTAAGTAAAATAATCAATGGAAAATATGTGTTCCAGGAATAACCCTTTTACCCCTGCTCTTCCATTCTCCAGGAATAACAGGTCCATACAACTTCCCACCTTTATGGTTCCCAAATTTGTTTGTTTCTAGAACCACAGAAACATATAGAAAGAAAATATGAAACTCTTTTCTCTGGTCTTGACTCTATGATTTGGGATCACCAGTAAGATTCAGCTCTGCATTTTCTCTGAGGGAGCTGGAGGGGGGACCTGTAATGTTGACTTCTTAATTTGGTCATGCAGCCTCAATCCCAGAACCAATTATTGTAAGGTGAGGGGTTCATCTCATTAGGAAAGCCAAAAAGGAGGAGGTAGCAAGTAACTTTTTACCAGTTTGGTCTCTCGGACTGAAATTGAAGAAAAAAGTATTATTATTGTATAATAATATGACAATAATAGTATTATTATTTGAAACAATACTATGGTAGCCCACTTTTAAAGCAGAAGAAGGAAGGAAAACTGAAAGAGACAAGAGGAAATTAGAATTGACTGGATGTGCTCAGATTATGTGCCAAACTTGAGCTGTTTAAGGTTCCAGTATATAAAATGGTTGAAATGCTCATTGGTGACAGTCTCTGAGTTAAAGGTTAGCCTTGTCTGTCAGAATGCAGTTGGCCTTATAGTTTTAGTAGAGGTACTTCGAAGAGTCAATGAGAAGCCACCAGGTCAGGTTGGTGTCATGTCCACCCCTTAGTGGGCGTCTTTGTCAAGGACCTGAGAGTGTCCTTGCTGTGATCATTCCAGACTTGCAAAGGAAAGCTTTAAGGATGAACAATGTCAAGATGGGCCATAGACATGTCCCATTTAATGAGCTGCTGAGTCCATGTTAACCCTCATGACAAAGGGCTTGAAAGGGAGGATTTTAGTGTGCAAGAATTTGACTTTTAGAGATCGTGTCAATCAGATTATGATGGAATTTGAGATAATATGCAACCATGTTATTATTATTTTCAGAAATAGTCAAAACCTTCCGTCTTCAGCAGGCCTGGAACTAGGATGAGGCTAGAAAAGTGCTTAATGCATAAACTTTTAAGATGGACCCACACAGGCTGGTGCAAGTGCAGCACTAGTCCTGGATGTGATCTTCACACCTTCCAGTCCATGTGGCAGCTCCCCAATGCTGGTCTCGTGGCCCCATGGACTAGTCCATCTGGATGGCCTTTAGCAGCGCCCCCTGAAATTTCGTGGACAGTTTAATGTGCCTATCATAGAGGCATTTTCTTGGGAGAAGAGATCCATAGATTTAGTAATATCTAAGTTGGACTTTTTCATTTCTCTGAGAAAGTCTAATTAATTGTAAGGTTTCTTTAATAATTAGCATTTACTTTTGGCAATTTTTGCTATGGGTCTAATGTTGCAAAACCACAATTGCAGCTACAAAAATGTAGTATTTGCCTTGAAAAGATTGCCTT